AGAGGGAAGCTCCTGGACCTTGGCAGCTTCTTGGGTTACAGAGCCCCAATTCTGCCCCCAGAACCCGAGGAGAGCAAGCACTCCCGTTCTCAGATCTTCTCTCCCAGGCTATCTGATGAACGAACCCTGGAGATGGGGGCTCCCCCATTGGGTGTTTTCTGGCCTGTACTGGTTGGGCTCTGGAGTTCTGAGTCAGAGAAACCAACTGAAGCTGGGTTCAGCAAAAAGGGAGACTTCTTTATGAAACCCTGGCGGTGTCTTCCAGATCGCCCACGCTGGACAGGCAGGAAGGGCCAGGTCCGGGGAGACTAGAGCCGGGCGGGGAGCCATCGGGACAATCTCTCCCTCCTCCACTCGGCTCCCCTCTGCCAGCTGGCTTTGTTCCTCTCCTTCTTTGCCAAGCCGCGGTTTCCCTTCCTCAGAGGCCCTGGCTGCCCCGAACAGCTGGGGTCACTCTTTTGGCTCCAACCTAGCCCCGTGGAGAGACCAGCCGCTGTGTCCCTCCCTCTCTTTCCCTTCCCAAATCCCAGTGTTCAAGAGAGGCAACTGACTGGCCCAGATGGAGTCACAGGTCCAGCTCAAGTCTAATCACCCCTAGCTAAGGTGGGGTCATGCAGTACAATCTGGCACCCTCCCTTGGGGATGGGGAGGGAGGAGTTGCTATAGAGATGGGGGGCCTTCCGCTCATAGGCTGTGCAGACCTCCCCAGGAGGGGCTGCGGCCAGAGATCTACCTCCGCACCCACCTCCTACGTTCTCCCCTCTCCCTATCCCCACCCTGGCCAGATGTCCACAAAGAACCTTTTTTAGAAACGTTCCACTGGCCCTAGGTCTCAAGCAACCTGTAATTCATCAGCTGAAGCTCTATCCCGTCAACGGAATTAACATTTTCATCGTTATCCTTATTATTGTCTATCACTGATCGAGGTCTTCCTGTATTCCAGGCACTGGGCGTAGCCCTTTACACGAATTATTGTACTTCATTTAACCTTCGCGTCAACACCATGAAGCAGATACTGTAATTATCCTCACTTTATGGAATTAGAAGCTAAGGCGCAGAAAGGTGAAGCAACCCGCCGACATCCCTGTGGATTGGCAGGGCTGGTACTGAAGCCCTCCAAACGGGCGGGTTCAGCTCCGCGCTGGAGGCCGCCGGGCACAGAGCTGTGGGGTTCTGCTTAGTTAACGAGGCCACGCTGCACACAACAAAGTCACGGCCAGGACTGAATGAGCACACGGCTGTGGCCCGGCTGGAGGAGGTTACAAGACGAGCTCCGAGAGGTCCTGATCGATGTGGAAGGGTTTCCTGGAAGGTGGAAGTTGAGCTTCAGAGGACAGGTGAGATTTGGACGGTGGAGAAGAGACATTTGAGAGAGAGAGACCTGCATCGGGAGGGCCTGTGTGAAGACAGCTGTGGGGTGGCCCAGGCTGGCTGCAGAGCGCACTCAAGGGCAGACTTTGGGGCAGGTGGGCGGCACCAGCCTCCAGCAGGCCCTGCTTCCCGCTGCACCCCTGGAGCCGAGCACTGCTGAGCACATGTGGCTGCCACTAGCATTTGCTGAAGTGAATTGACTGGAAATATCGTAAGTAAAGGCGACCCAGAGCAGGAGGAAGGTGGTCTAAGCTGTGGCTGAGTGAGACCAAGTCCTCTTACAGGCCCTTTATCTGTGTCTTATACGTGCAGTGTCTCTCCAGGTAGATCCCCACAAGTCAGTAATGTTGACAAGGATCACGCTTCCTCTTTTCCAGATGAAGAAACCAAAGCACAGAGAGGTGGAGCAAGTTGTCCAAGGTCGCCCAGCAAGTGGAGGCTCAAACTCAATGCTCCTTATTACAAATTTAGGGTTCCTAGAGGGAGGGGGTTTGAGTGAACCTGGGGACAGGTTTCCAGTGTCTAAAAGAAACCATGAAATGCGAAAACACGGACATTTAGAGACAGAGGGAAGTGTTTTGGACCCACACCAACTTGGGTTCGAATTCTGGCTTTGTCGCTTCCTAGGTGATCTTGGGCAAGTCACTTGTCTTCTCTGTGAGGACAATGGCAGTGCCTCCCAGGGTACTTGTGAGAATTAAAGGGGTCAATCGATACATGTGACGCAGTCAATAAATTACCATCACAAGTTGCTTAACCTTTAAGCCTCGGTTTTCTCAGCTGTGAAATGAGGGTGAGCATTCAGAAGGTATCCTGAAGAGGGCAGTTGGGAAGACAAAACGAGACAACACACCCAGGTCCCACCTCAGCGCCTGATTTAGCACACATTCCTTCCCTCCCCCGCAGTCCTCCCTCATGTCAGGTTTACTCTGATAGCATAAATGATGCGCTGCTCTAAGAAAATCACTGCTTGTGAACTTGAATGCACAGGCGTGAGCTCAGGAAGCATAATGCGTGCTCCCTCTCCCACCTGGTGAGAAAACCTCCACGGACTTCAGGGTAAAACGGCCGGGTGCTGAGTGGGTACACTGGGTGCTGGAGGGATCACGCTGGATGCAGCTCCCAAGATTCTCCTCGGAGCCTGGGGAGATGCAGGGATCGGGACCAAAGCAGCAGACTCTGGCTGCAGACCTGGGCAGTTGGGGTGCTTCTGCAAGGAGATCCTTTTGGTCAGGGTTAGGTTGACCAGGGGTAGGGAAGAATGTTCGGGGTGCAAGGCAGGGACAACATCATCTCCAAACGACTAAGCAACAGACCTGAGTTCCCTTTTTTTTTTCTTTTAAATAAACCAGTTAATGAGTACTTAGTTCCAGGCACTGTGCCAAGCAGTTTACATGGATCCCGGCCACTGCCATCTGTGCAGCCTCGGGCAAATTACTTAACATCTATGAGCTTCAGTCTCCCCATCTGAGAAATGGGCTTAATATGGTACCTACCTCCTAGGGACACAGTGGTCTTAGTGAATGATTAGATTTTGGGGGTTTTTTGGTATACATTCATCAATTTAATCTTCATAATGATCCTGAAAGGTTAGAACAATTGTCCTCTTCTTCCCCTTACCCCCAGTTTTTTGTTTTGTTTTGGGGGGATGAATATTGAGAGGTTAAATTTGTGGCTTCTGAGTGTTGACCTGACGGCACAAAAATGCACGTGGAGGGCTTCCCTGGTGGCGTAGTGGTTGAGAGTCCCCGTGCCGATGCAGGGGACACGGGTTCGCGCCCCGGTCCGGGAAGATCCCACATGCCGCGGAGCGGCTGGGCCCCTGAGCCATGGCCGCTGAGCCTGCGCGTCCGGAGCCTGTACTCCGCAACGGGAGAGGCCGCAACAGTGAGAGGCCCGCGTACCAAAAAAAAAAAAATGCACGTGGAAAACATGTGATAAACCAAGTTCCTGGGCCTGAATCTGTAGAGGGTGATTCTGTAAGTCTAGGATGGGCCCGAGGGTGTGGTAATATGTTTGTAGTAGCATTCCAGGTGATCTGGAAGTAGGGAGCTGCACTAGGCGATCTGGCAAAGCCGCCCAGAGGCAGGATTTGACTGCGGAAGTAGCATCATTTACACGAAGAGCACTTCCACTGGTGGGAGCACCCCCCACCGCTCCCTGGGGCTCTGGCAGTGCGTGAGGTGGTGATGTAGTTCTGGCCTGGCCCTCTCTCCGAGGAGTGGGGCTGCGTGGGGCTCTCTGGAGCAAGGTCCTCCAAGCAGCCACATTCAGGCCACCCTGCCCCCAAAATGGCTTCCTTCCCCCAAAGCCACCCAAGCCGCGGCACGCGGGCCCGTCAGCTCTTGTACCTTCTGGAAGGTCTCACCAACGATCAGGGACCTGTCCCCCTTTGGGTCCCCACAGACTTCTTCTCCAGGGCCCGTCTCCGCCCTCTGGTGCCACTGTGCATGTGGAGAGCCTCTGGCAACTTCAGGAGCTGCCAGAGCGTTTGGTTACTTTGCTCATTTTATTAATAGATGTGTACTGATGCCAACAACATGGAAACTGCTGTCTGGGAACAGGGGTGGGAGCATGCTCTGGGGAGTCTTCTGGCTGGATTGTGGCGACAGGAGAAACAGTGATCTAGGGGGAGAAGGGAGGCAGGCAGCCGGATGGCCCAATTTAGGGCTTCTGGGGGCATCCGACGACCTCTGGAGTTTGTGAAGACCTTTTTGGGAAAAGAAGAGTTGGGAGGATGTGGAGAGGAAGGAACCTGGTGCCCTGACCCTCCAGTCGGAGTGCTTGGAAATGCTTGGGGCTGGAAGGCTGGCTTAGCCCAGCTGCAGGCAGCGGGATACATCTTCCCCTGGGTCTGCTGGACCCTGAGTGTATGATGAGGGGCGGGGGAGATGGCAGCAGTGCTGTACTTGTGGAGGATCTTAAACCCCAAAGCAACAGGAAAGGCAAGGAGGCATCTTCCCCCAGAGGGGCTGCCAGCCTGATGCTGGGCTCCGAAGGAGGGAAACAGTAATCACACGTGTGAAATGCAGGGCCTTGGTGTAGAAGTGGCCGGCAGGCAAACCTCGCAGTGGGCAAGCTCCTGGCCTCCAGAGCTCCAGCCCCATGTGCAGCCCCTGGAAGCACCCTCTCCTCCAACCAGGATATGTGTTCACTTCTATTACTGGCCAGTGAATAAACAATCAGAAAGCCTTGCCAGGATCTGCCGTTTACCCTTTAAGGGAATGAACTTCTGTTTCATTTGGGGAGTTTTAAAAAGAAGCTTTCCGGGCTTCCCTGGTGGCGCAGTGGTTGAGAGTCCGCCTGCCGATGCAAGGGACACGGGTTCGTGCCCCGGTCCGGGAAGATCCCGCGTGCCATGGAGCGGCTGGGCCCGTGAGCCATGGCCGCTGAGCCTGCGTGTCCGGAGCCTGTGCTCCGCAACGGGAGAGGCCATGACAGTGAGAGGCCCGCATACCGCAAAAAAACAAAAAACAAAAACAAAAAAGCCTTCCCAGACAAAAGCCCTCACATCACAGCCCAGGGGTCTCCGTCAAGCTTGCTCATGCCCTTGACACAGCAAAAAGTTCTGATCACACCTACTGAATATATTTATTCATTTATAAATAATAATCATGCATTACTGCACTAATGTATTATGAATATTATCAAACAGGCACAAAAATATAAAGTGAAGTTCAATTAAGTCAGATTAAAATAATATTTTTAAATGTTTTAATAAGTGTGAATGGTTTTATGCCATCACTTGCTAAGATCGCAAACCAAAAGTCTATACTTAGACTTAGGCTCATTACTAATAGTAGTGGATATAAATTCTTATTGCAAATTGTCTTCTCGCTCATATATGAACTTTGGGGACCACTTTCTCTTTAGACCCAGTTGGATTATCACAGTGTTTGCTTCTCTGGTGGCTGTCGGAGCAGATGCCAGGGAGTGAAGGGCCCACAACCATGCCTCGCTCTGGATTCGAGGGCGTGCATTATGTTCAGAGTTTCTTCCTTTTTCGTCCCTCTTTTTCCTGCTTTCTTTTTAAGTCCTCTGTCCACTGGGTGAAAAATCACTTGAAGGGTATTCTTATCTAGAAATCTGCTGAACTGGCCTCACCTGAAGAGAAAAGTTCTTCAAAATGCTGACAGCAAAGGAAAAGCCTGGCTGATCTTCCGTGCAGTAATGTTTGACGTAAAGACCAAATACGGACATCAGTGTCAATCTATAAATACTGGGAAAACTGAATTCTTTTCCTTTTTTCTTGGATGAAATGGAAATAGAAATAACAATTTTTAATATACCTTTCGCCTCAGAGAATTACCTTGCACACCTCCTGGGGTGTTTGCACCCCACTTTGGAGACCTCTGTGTCAGGCTCCGCACCGCCCCCGTCACTCCCTAACCACCTCTGTTGCAAACAGGAGCTGGCGGAGCTTACGAATATGTGGAAAACGTGGGTTTGATCAAGTCACTGCCCCTTCCTTGCATCTTATGGGCCTTCCATGGGTCTTGGGGACAAAATAAAACTTCTTATAAGATCTGGCTGCTTCTCCCATTTCCCCTGCATTCCCGCCTCCCCCACCCTGTCTCATTCTGCCTCTGCCACGAAGGCTTCCTGGGGCCCCTTGGCACAGTCACCCACCTCCACCCAAGATGACGTGTGGCTGGCTCCCTCTCACCCTTCAGGTCTCAGTTCTGAGGTCACCCCTCGAAGAGGCCAGGGTCAGCCCCTCATCTAAAGATTATTCCTCTCCCCTCCCTTCCACCATTATTCTCTGTCTCCGTGCTCCTTCATAACCTTTAAAGCATCAATCACACATTGTCACTTTGTCAATCTGTTTGTGGGCTCTGCTGTCTCTTCTACCAGATGACAAGCTTGGGGGCCACCGGGGAGCCCCCATGTCCACCTTTTTCACTACTATGTGCTCAGAGCCCAGCATGGTCCCTGGTGTATGGTAGGTGCTCGCTAAGCAAATGAGTAATGAAATGAATGAATCATGTCTGGGTGAAACTACAAGTGTTTTCTTCGATCGGGCTTGTCTCTTGGCCACCACTAGAAGCTCCACGATATGGGGAACCGGCTTCCCCCTCCCCGGCCTCAGGCCTCTCCAGCCTCCCTTACACCGGGGAGGCCAGATGTACCTGTACCCATCCAAGGTGCTCAAAGAAAGCCTGGAGTGGTTTTCCAGGGCCAGAAGAGGCTATGAAGAGCGAGGTGTCCACTCCCCTCCTTTGAGGGCTGAGAAGCCAGAGTATCAGAGAGGGGTAGGGTTGAACCTAAAGACACACAGCAAGGGCAGAACAGAGAGCACCGCCAGGAGCTCAGGTGAAGAGATAGTAGGAGTTTTCTTGGCTCAGGGGACCGAGGCAACTGGGAGGTGTGTAGCTGTTGAGGGCAGGCGTGCCATCGCCTGGGCTGGGCCCCTGCGTGGGGCAGGGGCTGAGGCCTGGCTTCGCCCTCTCTGGGTGCTGGAGTTTGTGCTCACACGACCCTCCTGAGGCCCTCGTGGGGTGTGCCCGCAGCCTGGTCAGAGAAGCACAGACGAGGCTCAGAGACGGGTCTAAGCTCACACAGGCGGTACATAGTGGAGTCTGGACCACACCTGGGTCTGTCCATGCCCGAGGTGACGCCCCTCTCCCTCCCCGAGCGCAGCCCCTCTTTGTGAGCCGGCGTTAGGAGGCTTTAGCAGAGCTGGATCGCCCTGTGATTCGCTTGTCCTCGGCACACAGGGAGGGACAGTTGCGGGCCTCACCTGGGTGTTGGCAGGCGCAGCTCCTCCCTGGGCACCGACCCCAGCTTCTCCCGCTCAGCGCTTGCCTCTGAAAAGAAATGAAATCTGACCCTATGGGAAAGCTTAGAGAGAAAGCAGGAAAAATATCTCTCTTTTCAAGAAACAGACCCAAAGGGACCCTGCTTCACCAGTTTCTTTGACAGCCTCTGGTGAAGTGAAGCTCTTTAATATATTTTTAAAGAAAACTGAAGCCCAGGAGAATGACTGGGGTGGGACGTGGTGGGGACCATTTCTAAACATCTTCCCCTTTTGGGGTCTCAGCTACTTCTTTACCATGAAGGGGTCAGCCCACCCAAAGCCAACAGCACGGGCCTCCCATTTCAGAAGTTTAGGCTCTGAGGATGGGCTGGAAGGTTCCCCAAAAGTGGGAACTTGATTTGGGTCTTGAAGGATTTGCAGCAGAAAAAAAGTTCGAGTGGTCACACAGGTGAGCAGGCCAGGGCCAGGTCTGGGGAGGCAGCCTGGGCCTGACTGCAGGGTAGGGAGGAGGGAGGAAGGAGGAGGGAGGGGGAGGGGGAGGGAGGGGAGGGGAGGGGGGGGGGGGGGCTGTCGGAAGGGAAGGGGGAGGTATGATAGGAAGATCCTCAAACCGGGAATCAGGACACCTGGGTTCCACTCCCAGCTCTGCCGCTGACTTGCCGGGTGATGTGGAGTGGGGTCTCTGCCCCTTCCAGGCCTCAGTTTCCCAGTCAGCAAAACCGGTGGGAAAGGTTTAGACTGAGTGAACCCCAAGCTGCCCTGGGCCAGGTGTGGCTCTGATAGCCACGCCCCTTCCCCACTGGGCGCCCTCCTGCCTGTCTTTAGCTGAGGCTGCAGGTGTCACACGACTTCCCAGGTCTCTCCGGGCAGCGGAGAGACCGCTGTTGGGCCCCACTAACCCCCCTTAAACCCACATCTTCCTGGCTGCTGTCGCCATGAGTGGCCTTCGGGAGCCCCCTCTCCCTGGAAGAGAGGACTCTGTGACTTGGCAGGGCTGAGGGGGGCAGGCCAGAGGCCTCCAGGCCATCTGTTCTTCGGGCTGGGTCCCAACACAGAGGCCATTCAGCGCTCTCTGCCTGTGTCTCTCCACCTCCCCGGGCCCAGGCCTGAGCAGATGGCCAGCTGCCACCCCACCCAGGAGGCTGGGGAGCCTTGAGGCCCAGCTGGAAGCCGGGGGCGGTGAGGTCTGCCCTCGTCTTACAGAAGTGGTTGTCGCCCGATTCCAGGTCCTGGGCCCCTACCTCACTGGGCCTCTGTTGCCAGGCCTGGCACCCTCCTCACCACCCCCTGCCCAGCCAGCCCCACCTCTAAGCATTCAGAGAAGTACCATGAGGGTGAGGCCACACCCTCAGACACCACCCAGGCCTGTCCCCTGGGGCCACAAAGAAGGCACCAGCCACCTGCCTGAGGCCACAAGTTCCTCAAAATTTAAGCCAAGTCCGAACCCAGGTGAGCCTCACCGCCTCACAGCTGTGGTCCTCAGTCTGCCTGGGCCTCAGGTTGACTTGGGGTGGGGAGCGGTGGTTAGATTCTGACTCAGAAGTTCTAGGGAGGGCCCTGTGAATCTGCATTCTTGATAAACTTTCCAGGCAATTCCCAGAAGGCCTCACAGGTGCTGTCATCCTGGTTGTCTCCCCTGTTTATTTCTAGCCTGAAGGGCAGTTAAAGTTCTGTGATGTAGGCAAGTCGTTATTCCCATTTCACAGGTGAAGAAATTGAGGCCCCAAAAAGGCACGCCATTTCACAAAGTAAATTTCACACAGTAAGGTCCTTCCAGAGCCAGGCCTGGTACTGAATACTTCTGCCTCCTTAGTTAATGGGTTTTGGACAACAGTCCCCTGCTATCTCCCCAGGGGAGAGTAGGAATGGCCCTGAGATACTCCCACCACTTCTTCCCTCTACCCACTTATAACACTTAAAGCCCGAAGTCCTGGAAAGATGATGGTGTCTCCCTCTATCCCCAGTGCAACCCTAAATAAAAACAACACTAAACTCTAAAATAGCTGTAAGGAAATCCCATGATGACAATAGTACTTTGCATTTTTTAAAAATTTAAATTCTTTAAAAACACCTCCCCTCATTTGATGGCCCACTTCTGTGGTGCCCGGAGCAATATCCTCCCTTCCTAAGGGATGACTCACTGTCCCAGGTGCCCTTTCCAATGTGGGAGTCTGGGCGAGGGGCCAGTCAGCCACTGAGAGCTGCCCTCTCATCCCTGAGCCTGGTCCCTCCCCACCTCCCCACCTCCCCCAGTTCCACCCAATTTCCTCCCCCCAGAGCTGGAATGAACTCACCAGGGAAGCCTGGCATCTATCTCAGATGGGCCCTGGCAAGGCAGAGTCTCATTGATGAGGACTTGAAATGTATGCCTCTCATATCCTTGACCATCAGGCTTCTCTTCCTGTGGGGCTTTGAGAGAAAGGCCAGGCTCCCTCCTCACCCCTCTGTGGAAAGGGCTCTTCCCTAATCCTCTTTAGAGAGGGGAGAGAAGGGCAGTCCTGCCAGGGATGAGGCCCAGAAGCTGCCCTCTCTCCTCTTGGGACCACTGGCGTTAGCTGGTACCGGAGTATGGAGAAGCCAGGAGGGACTTCAGGCTCTATGAACCTTACTAAACTAAAACAGGACCTATATTCTAATCTTACCTTATAGGATTATCCAAAGATGAAAGGAAATAGTACACACAGACCCACACACAGACACACACAGATGCACAGAAGGCATGTAGCACAGAGCCTGACTCGCGGTAAGTATTCAACACACTGTCCTTATTGTCGCTATGAACTAGAGTGACATCAGAAGAAAGAACACTGTAACAGGAGTCAAGGAACCTGCTTTCTAACTGGGGCTATGCCACTAATGGGTAGGTGGTTTTTAGCAATTCTCACAGCCTCCCTGGGCCTCAGTTTGCCCATCTGTAAAATGGGAGTGTGGGGCCAGAAAAGGTCTCTAGTCCCTTCCAGGGCCGACTCTCCCTCACTCCACCACTTTCCATAGCTCCCATTTGTCCTTCCCAGCTTAGTTAAATGTCACCATTTCTAGGAAGCCTTTCCCAAGAGCCCTAAGCTATGCGCCTTTCCAGGCTCCGCCCCCCAGCACTGCATTCCTCTCACTGGCCCTATGTAGGGAGACTATGTCCCTCCCATGATGATTCCCACAGCAGCTGTGTGTGCCACTTTGACCTCTGATTTGCAGCCCCAGGGAGAGTCATGGGATTGTTATTTCCCCTGGTATTAGTCCCCGGTATTAGTCCTTCCACTTTATAGGTGAAGACACTGAGTCCTGGGTATTAAACAACCCAAGCGGCACAACTCAGGGAGCCTGGGAGTCCCAGAGCCTCAGCCTGCTTTTCTGTAGTGACTCAGGGCTTTGGCAATCATTACAGCAGCGATTACTCCTTAAATTGGGTACTTTTCACTGTTGACGCCACTGCTGCCAAGGGGGACTTCTTTTTTTTTTCTTTTCAGTTTGCATTCACCAGGCGGGGGAGGAGGGTTGAGTGTGAAGCAAAGCGGAAGGAGAAAGAAAAAGAGATGGGGTGGGAAAGCTGGACAGAGCAGAGAGGCCAGGGTGACTGTGGGCTGCCCTGGACCCCTGGTGAGGGTGAGGGAAAGTAGGAGAGGGGCTGGGGGGTGACGACAGCCGGTATGGGGTGTAATTCAGAGGGTAGCTGCACCCACTGGAGGTTCTCATCTGGCTCCCTGGACTCCAGGGATTAAAGCCTGGGCCGGGGCAGCTGGGTGTGTATAGGAGAGGGGCAGCCGAGACCACCCCTGCTCTCACAGTCTCCCCTCATACCCCCCCACACACTCCGTGCACTCCTCAGACACCCACCACGTGCTGGCACTGTGCTAGGCACACAGGTACAGCAGTAAACAGACACAGTCCGGCCTGGAAGTAGCTCTCAGCCGGCCACAGGCACTCAGAACCTAGGTCTCAAATCCACCAGTGCCTTAAGAGAGCTGCTGTGGTTGGCTTGGGGGTCTTTGGGAACCCAAACTTGGGCTAGAGTATGGGAGGTGCAGGTGAGAGGTCAGGAAGGAATTTCCAGAGGAAATTCTAAGAGAAGCATGAGCAAGAGCCAGCAGATGAAGACTGGGGCGTGGTGGGGGAAGAGCATCCCAGCAGAGGGAACAGCACACGAGACGGATCCAGACACAGGACACGGCAAAGCACAGGAGGGCAACTGAGAGTAGTATCTACTCAGATGTCTATCTCCTCCATCAAATTACAAGCTTCTCTAATGCAAAAATCACTCGTTTTACGTATGTATATTCCTATATTCACTTTAGCTGGAACAATATAAGTTCATTTAAGATCTTGCAAAATGAAGTGGTGGGTCTATGACGGTCTTTACCCTTGGGCTGCTGGGTACTGCTGCACAGGCTGTGCACTGCAACACTCCCTCTGCAGTAGGGTTAATACCCATTGGTTCTGCTCTGCATTGTCATTTATTAGTAAATATTCTCAATACCCTTATTAATTTCCCTCTCTCTCTCTCTTATAGAATAAGGTGCTGGGAATCCAATGGTGAGTGAGACAAATGACGTTTCTATCCTCAAAGAGGGTATATTCTAGAGGAGGCAGATAAAAGAAACAGATACATTTTTAAATGGAAAGATAATCTTAGATGGTGACACATGCTATAAGTGTAGTGAACAGGGGAAGCAGCTAGGTGATAGGGGTCAGCTGTGATTTGGTGGCTGGGAAGACTCTCCGAGGTGACCTGTCAGATGACACCAGTGGTAACAGAGAGAGAGGCAGCCACGGGAAGGCTTGATGGGAACAGCATTCCATGTAGAGAGAATGGCATGTGCCAAGGGCCCAAAGTGGAAACAAGTTCAGTGGACACAAGAACTAGGAAGGTGGTGGGGGAATTCCCTGGCAGTCCAGTGGTTAGGACTCAGCGCTTTCACTGGGCCTGCCGCGGTCCCGGGTTCAATCCCTAGTCAGGGAACTAAGATCTCGTAAGCTGCACAGTGTGGCCAAAAAAAAAAAGAACTAGGCAGGCGGAAGCAGTGCGGGTGGAGCGAAGGGAATGAGAGGAGGGCAGAGGACGCAGGGCCACGCTCACATCACAGTGATGAGTCCGGATTTTACTTGACGCAGCAGGGAAGACCACGTTTCATAATCTCTGGTCAACTTTTTCAAAGCTCTCTTGGACTGCTGAGCGGAGAGAGAGTTGGAGGATGCAAAGCTAAGAGCTGGGGGACCAGTTAGGAGCAGTCCCAGTGAGAGCTGATCTTGGCTTGGGTTAGGGTTGGGTAGCACGTTAGGGTAGGTGCTGGTAGCTGAGTTGAAGAGGCAAAATAGAGAGGGCACTCGTACTGCTCTCAATATGAATAACAGCAGTAATAAGATGATTCATGGGTACAAAGCACTTTTACAGCCACTTTTCTCACCTTGTGTCATGGACAGGGCACTAGTAATAGGCCCATTTTCAGCTATGTAAACTGAGGGCTCAGAGAGGTGAAGAGTCCTGTTGAAGTTCTCATGACCTGGAGGGGACCCACAGGAACTCTCTCATTGCCTCAAGATCCCCACTGACACCTACTCTCCCTGTAGGCCTGGCTGGGGTCAGATGTCCTTCCCTGCCCCAGGACTGTGGGAGCAGCCAGGCGGAGTGGTCTTCTGTTTACTGCCTTGGGCTGAAAATACATTTTAGCAATTGGCAAAACACAGGAAAGCTAGAGCTCAACATGCTTCGATTGGTAAACGCACACTGCCCTTCTCTTAATATAAGGATATAAAACAATAATTTATCCATACTCAGAAACCAGAACACTTCCTTCTGCCAAGGTCCTCCTGCAACCCCTTCCTTCAGCCCCGCACCCACAGAGGGGCTCCCAGAATGGCCCGGGCAAGCAGTGGGCAAGGGGAGCTCTGTCCTGGGAGTTAGAGTGGAGGGGCACACTTTACTGAGCACCTACTGTATGCTGGTCCTTAACTATTTCTCATCCAATTGTCAAAATAATCCTGTAAAAGGGAGATTAGAAAACAGGAGACTTAGAGACTAGGAGCGTTATTTATCTACACAGTGGTGATGATAACATGGATAGAGTCCATGAAGTTGCCCAGCATATAGTAAGTGCTCAATAAGCACTAACTGGCCTCACGAGGCTAAGGTTGCCATTGTCCCGCTTTGCTGATGGGAAAACAGAGGCGCAGGGATGCTACAGATTTGCCCAGGGTCACATGGCTGGGAGTTGGCAGTGCCAGAGGCAGGGCTGTAGACTTCTGAAGCCAGGGTCTGAAGACTGTCGCCAAGCATTCAATCCATCTCAGGGTTGCACCCTCCACCTCAAATTCACCCAGTTCTGGGAGAGGCCGGCTGTGTGCCAGCCTGAGGGTGGCTGTGTGAAGATGTCAGCAACAGAGCCGCCATCCCAGGGATGTGGCTTAATGGGGGCAGACAGATTACATAGCAGTGTGTCAGGTGCAGTCACCAGGTGCTCCCAGGGCTAGAAGAGACAGCCTTGAAGGCTTCCTGGTACATGAGTGATGCAGGGGGCGGTGTGCTGGGAAGGACCTCTCAAAAGTGAGACTGCCCGGAGGATGGAAGGAGGGCGTTCCTGGCAGAAGGCCCAGCCCCGGCCAAAGGCCAGGAGGGCTGAAACACTGGAGTGTTTGGGGGTAAGGCAAGGTCGGTTCTTGGGGGTCTGGGCGTGGTCAGGAGTGTGGGGCAGGGCCTGGCGTGCTGATCCCCACTCAACCAAACAGCCACAGTGTGCCCTTGGCGCCAACTGCTCAAGGAACACCAGCCTCCCAGCTGCAGCGCTGCTTGTGTCGAACTCCTTCCTCAGGCCCCGATGGGAAGATCCACCCTATCCCCAGCATCTCCGCACTTGAACCCTAAATGGGGTAACAGAGGCCACAACTGATCCACGGTGGTTATAAAGACCCCTTGTGGGGTACCAGGGGAAAACAGTGGGTTTTGGAGCTGACAGATTTGCGGGCTGGAATTCTTGGTGCATGAAGCCAGCCCTCTCTGGCCCTCAGGTCCCCATCTATAAAATGGGCCACGTCGCAGAGGTTTGATATGCAAGCACGGGTCTTGCACCCACAGGTTGCCCAGCGTGTTGTTTTTTCTCTGTCTACCCCAACTCCGAGTGAGGGTGGGGAAGGACGGACGGGCGGCGGTGAGTGGGGCTGGGGAGGCCCTGGCTCAGCCTCCGGGGGCCAGGGGGACTGGGGGGATCTGCCTCTGCGGGACCCCTCCTCCGGAGCGGAGGGCTGTACCCAGCCACGCAGGGGTTAACCTGCCTCCCAGCCGCACGCTCGGGCGTGGGAGGAGATGAGCGCCGGGTGAGGACTCCGCTGCAGGCGCTCTTTCCACCCGCGCCCCGCCCAGAGCCCTGGCGCCCCGGAGCGTAGCCTCCCCGCCGGCAGAGCCCCCCGCCCTCCAAGTACGGGCGGCGGCCGCGGGCGCCCTGAGCCTCGGGCACGCGCAACCCTCCGCTCCTCCTCGGAGCAATTACATAATGATGCCTCCCGTGCGGTGCGCCTTTGTTTCTGCGATCCGCCTCGGCCGCGCCCCGCGAGTATTAATAAACCGATCACTCAACACGCCAGGCTGGGCTTCATTTGTGTTGATTTGGGTAGGGACACCTCCGAAAGAATAATAAACACGGCCCGCCGCCTCCCGTGGGAAACAGGGCAGTGGGCTCCCCACCTCTCCCACCCCAGTCCCAGCCCCTCTAGTCAGAGTCCCTTCCCCTCCTCACCTTGGTCAGCAGTCTGGTCTCAAGAAGGAAAAAAGAAGAAGAAGAAAAAAATTCAGAACGAAAAACTTGGGGTTCCAGGCCCACCTCTTCCACTTCCCTGGTAGGTGATATCTGGCAAAGAGAGACTCGTTACTCTTACCTGAAAAATGGGCCGAATAATACCAAAGTGTCCGTTTAAATGAGAAAATCTAGGAATTTAGTTTGCTTTGCAGACTCTAAAGCAGTGGTTCTCACTCTAGCTCGACTCAGAATCACCGGGAGGGCTGGTTGAAATGCTGATTGCGGACCCGGCAACTCTATCCCTTCAGAGTTTCTGATTCTGTGTTGTCTGAGGCGGGACCGGGTATTTGCATTTCTTTTTTTTTTTTTAACATCTTTATTGGAGTATAATTGCTTTACAATGGTGTGTTAGTTTCTGCTTTATAACAAAGTGAATCAGTTATGCATATACATATGTTCCCATATCTCTTCCCTCTTGCGTCTCCCTCCCTCCCACCATCCCTATCCCACCCCTCTAGGTGGTCACAAAGCACCGAGCTGATCTCCCTGTGCCATGCAGCTGCTTCCCACTAGCTAGCTATTTCCTGCAAACCTGCTTTGAGAACCACTGCTCAAAAGCCATTTATAAATTACCCGTATAAATGTAAAGGTGATACACTTGCCCCAAACTTGGATGACTACACTGGGGACTGGGCAGGCCAAGGAGGATCAGCCATCCCTGCCCAGGTCAGCAGCACAGCCAGAGCCGTCTGGGGTACTGGGCCTGGGGTTCCAATCCTGAGCTCACTGATCTCTGGGTTGTGGCCTTGAGCAAGTTATGTAACTCAGTGGGCCTCAGTTTCCTCATCTATAAAATGGAGCTAATAATGGTACCAACATCATGAGATTTGTTAAGGTTAATACATGTAAGGCACCTAGACCAGGACCTGGCACATGGTAAGGGCTCAGAAAGCTATCTATTGAGAAGATGATAGTGCTCTCTAGGGTGTGGTACCCAAGGGGCCTAGCATCCCCTTGGGCAGGAGGCAGGTGAGGTGCTGCTCACGGCCCTAGCTGGCTACCCAAGGCCCAAGGTCCTGACCTCGCAGCCCAGAGTGGCTGCTCTATACTATCACTGTAAAGGGGTTTGGGGGGGTCTCCCAAGCTGAAGATCCACTACCTGCTGTTCCCCCACCCCATAGCAATTCTTTTTGGTCAGGCAGGGCTCAGCACTTTCAGAGAGACTGAGGCTCTTATCTGACTTGCAGCAGTGTGAGCTGTGCCCACAAGGGAAAGTCCACACTCTGTTCTGAGTTTTGGAAGCTGCCTCTCTCACACCAGCACAGAGCAACAGGTGTCCTGGGCCCCCAGACAGTGACCCCACCGCCCCAAGCCAGCTGGTGGAGGCTGGCTTTCCCAAAGGCAGTCACATGCACCTCCCTGTACCGCCACTCACCGCCACTGTCGCCTGTTCATTCATTCATTGGGTCAGTGAACATTAATTGAGCACTTACTGTGAGCCAGGCTCTGAGCTCAGGACTTACAGGTTGTGCCTCACTTAATCCTCCAAGTCCCCTGTGCCTCAGCATGATTTTTCTCTCTCCATTTGACAGATGAAGAAACTGAGACTCAGAGAGGCTGAGTAACTTGACTAAGGCCACAGATCTAATAAGCAGAATTAGGGCCTTGACCCTAGATCCAGGTTGGTCTAACTCCCAAGTTCTGCTCTCACCTGCCCCCTTGAGCTCTTCCCAGTGCAAGCAGAAAAGGGCTGGCTGTGGTCCTCTGGTCCCAGAGCTGAGCCGTCACGTCATTCCTTTAGAAGGGCTGAGCCTCACTGCTTCCACCCGCATCCTAATGGGTTGTCTGTCCAACAGGTGGGGAGCTGCTTGACATTCTGCGGTCCTGGAGCAGCAACAGCAGTGGTGGGGATGATTCATAGGCGGGAGGCGGGTGGTGGAGGGAAGGAGGCCTGGACAGTGTCCCTGGAGTGGAGGCAGGGTCCAGGCAGTGTGAGGGAGGCCTGTCTCAGGGTCCCTGAGCTCCCAGCAGCTTCTCCCAGTCCCCAAAGCTGTGCTCAGCCTGGGCCCACTGGAATTGGAGCGGAGAGACCCAGAGGTCTTCTTACTAGACAGGCTCACAGGGAAGGAAGACACTCTAGAGGAAGTGAGGGGAACCAGCAAAGGGAAGTGGCAGGAGTTATGAAAGCCCAGCTCCTCTGCTTCACGCTGTGTGCTGGGACAGTGGCTCTTTCGGCCTGGGCCAAAATGATGCTCCTTATAGCAGTTTCCACCACCTCCTGGCTTGACAGATTTCACCCCAGAGCTACTTTCCCAGTTTACCAACCACTGGCACCTGCGAGGCCCTCTCCCTCCCTCCTTCTTCTGGGCTTCCTACGAATAATGTCAGCAACAGTTGTCTACTATGTGCCTTCTCTTTGCTAACAGCTTAACATGCATCCTCTCTCTTAAACTCCCAATAACCTCTAGGAGATAGGCTCTCCTATGATTCCCATTTTACAGACCAGGAAACTGAGGCTTAGAGAAATGAACTCACTGGCCCATCCCTAGGATTTGAACCCAAGTCTGTCAGCTCCAAAACCCCTGGGCTCAACCACCACAGGCCTCTGACAACATCTTTTTCCTCTACACGCACCGCCAGCCCCAGGGAGGGGTCCCTGGTAAGACCTATCCCCTGTCCCTAGCCCCAAAGACTAGGCCAAACCCTCAATCCCCCCAGCCTCTCTCCTTATCTCTTGGGTGCCAACACTAGTCCCACTGCTGGCATCTCTGAAATCTAATTGCCTCTGCATTCTTCCCCAGGGAGTCACAATCCACAAGTGATTTCTAGCCACAGACACGGGCATTCCCTGTGCCCACTCCACCTTCCAGCACCCACCTGCACGGGCACACACACAGACACACAGCCGCAAAGGAGGTGCTGCCGCCCCTGCTGGCTGGAACCTGGGCAGATGGAGGCCCAGCTGCTCCCAGGCTCCTGTGGGAGGCTGGAGGGGAGTGACCCTCGCCCAGCCACGGGTCTGGGCTCCACCTCCACCCCACCCCCACCCTCCTGGGGCTTTGAGGGAAACATTTCACAATAATGAGAATCACAATAATCATGATAATAATAGGAATCAGCATTTCCAGTCTGCAAACCCTTTGCATCTCATCACCTCACGTGACTCTCACAAGCCCGCTTTTCAGGAGCAGCACAGGGAGCCACAGCTGGTTAGGAGCAGAGCCAGGGTCCTAACCCCCTTCTCTCACCCTCTCAGTTAATGCTCCCTGTCCTGCACTGTAAATAACGATGACACCTCATGGCTACCACGTGTCAAGCACCTATTCTTGCCTAGATTTGGGGAGCACTTTACAAATGTCAGTTTTTATCCTCTTTATATTTATGTCCAATGTAAAGATGAGGTGACTCAGAAATGTTAATGGCAGAATGGCAGTCTAAGGAATGTTCTGAAGTAGAGGCACATCACTTTAGAAAATCATATAGGAAGGAAGAGAACAGAGCTTTTAATGGGCTCCTTAGGGAAAGTGGACGCCAGGGGTAATGGAGAATGTCTCTTCCTTCTCCTCCGGCCCCCCAAGCACTTTGGCTGTTACTGCGAGTTGTTTCCATTGCTGGGCTTGACTATTTGTGTGTGCATCTGTCTCCCAGGAGCTATAAGCTCTTCAAGGACAGGGATTGGGGCCCCGACAGCCAGCACCTCGCCTGGCACACAGGAAGGGCCCAGTCAACATTGCCTCCTTCATGAAGGATGATGGGACAGCTTGTGCTCACACCCTCCCATCTGATGGGCTTGGGAGACAAGAACGCAGGATCAAGTCACCCAGCGCTCAAGGTTTATCCACATCAAACACCACCTAAGGCGTGAACCCCTCCTGTAGCACCCTCAGCAACTCTTCCTTGGCTTCTGCTTGCATGCTGCAAGTGACAGGGTGCTCACTACTACTAAAGCAGCCCCTTCTGTGTTGGAGATCTCAGAGAGATTGTTATGAAGTCCCTCCGTCTATTGATAAAAGTCAGGCTCTCGGGTATATCCAATAGTCACACCTAGGGGAGCATTAGTTGTGTCTCTTAGTCAGGGGGGCAATCAGGGGTAACACTGCACACAAGTGAGGCTGGTGCCTGCCCTTCAGGAATGCTGGGAAGGCAGAAGGAGGAACAAATGAATTCATCATCCCTGCTTGAACCAGCTCTGTTAAGGCGGTGAGCTTAGACTCTGAATTGTCACAAAGACTACTATCAAGCCCTGAGACCTCAGTCAGGTGGATTTGGGGTCTGTGCTTCACCCGACAAAGCTAGGAACAATCCTGATCTGTAGTCATATTCATTCACTCACTCATTCATTATTGGCTATCACTGGCTGGGAGCAGGGATGGTGGCACTGTGGGCCACAGCACTGTCTCAGGATCAGAGCTGTTACCTTGGTAATCAGACAGCTAACCGTCACTGGGTGCTTACTATGAGCCAGGCACTTCCTGTTTACTTCTGTGTAAAGGGCATAGCCTCTCCTGCCCAGTCACAGCTCCGGGGAGGGCAATGGGAGTCTGCTTGGCACGCCAGCCCTGAGCACCTGGTACAGTCAGTGCCCAATAAGCGTGAGCTGCTGCCATTTAAATCTCCACAACAACCATAGGTGCTCCTACTATTGGTTGCCCCCAGTTTGTACACCGAGAAAACCAGACACCTAGAGGTTGTTACTTGCCCATGGCCACACAGTTTCCAAAAGGCTGAGCCAGGATTTGGACCTGGGCAGTCTGCTTCCAGAGCCTGCTTGATCAACTCTTAAGTTACGGGTAGAAGCCTGGGGAACCACTCACCTTTCTCTGCCCCCTTTGCTTATCTTGTGAAATGGAGCTTGTCATCAACCTCGCCTTCCTCTTTTCTCCAGCCCCCTCCCATTGTGACCATCAGCCAAGATAAAGAGATGCAGGTGTTCTTTTCTATGAAGGAGGTTGGTGGGAGTTGGGGTGGGGAAACACATTACTAGTCACAAAGGATTGAAATGAGCTCAGAATCTTGTGGGGGGGGGGAATTGCTGTAGGAATCTAGTTGTTTTAGGCTGAAAGGCTCCCAGAGAGCCTCCAGGACCCCCAAACTCCATTCTTACCCCCCTTGCCCTCCACAGGATGTGCGGACACAAAAGGTCTTGCCACTGTGCCTCCTCCCTCCTCCACGTACCAATGAGCCCCAGCTAAGATCTTTGTGCCTTGAGTGCAATTTGTAGCAACTTAGCTGAGGCTGGATTTTAGGCTGGAGGATGAAGGTGTGCGAGTGTGTGCGTGTGCGTGTGTGTGTGTGTGTGTGTGTGTGTGGCGGTGGGGGGGGTGTTGATGGTGTCATGTTACTTGACAAAGTCACACCAAGCAAGGGAGGACTAGAAACGGTGAGCCTAGGCTGGAAGCCAGAAGACTAAATGAAAGAAAACATTAACAACCACCGTCTGTAAAATGGGAGCAATCATCCCGGCCTCATAGGTAGTTGTGAGAAGCACGAGTTAACACTTGTAATTCCTTCAGCACACGGTGCCTGGCACGGAGCGGGCGCTCAGCAGACGGGGACCATTGCTGTGTAACTGTGTTATTACACACTTGGGTATCTACCAGCCAAAGCATTCCTTTCCGTTTTAGACACTGGCCTAGGCCCCAGGCGATACCCCAGGGATATTTAAGACAAGGTGGCTTGCCAACCTACGAGGGTGTTGATAGTCTCACGAAAGGGGCGCAGTCTGGAGAATTTGCCACGAAAGTCTCCCTGGGCGGCGCGGGCCCTCTGTTTGGATTCCCAACCGCCTTCCCCCGGGGCGTGAGCGCGCCCCCCGCAGGCGATCTCCGGGAAAGCCTCGGCTGGGGAGCCCGGGAGCCCAGTCCCCCCAACCCTTCTCTCCCGCCCGCCCCGGCGGCCACCCTCGGGGGCTAGGCAGCGCGGCGCGTGGGAGGGGACGGCGCGCCATTGGCTTGTGCACGGAACTGAGAGGAGGGACCAGCTCGGGCCGCCAGACTCGGGCAAAGCCCCGCCGCGCTGGGCGCCGCGCGTAGTCCAGCCGGCCCTGCCCTGCCCGGCGCGGGCGGCGCGATGTGAGTCGACCGAGGGCCCGAGAGTCCCCCTGGCACGCCAGCTCCGCGCAGCGCCGGCGCCAGCAGGCGCTAGGAACGTAAGTTCTGCTCCCCGCCGCCGCTTCGGAGCCTAGCACTTTCCCTTCCCGCCGCCAGCTGGCCGGTGCCTGCGCAGCGCAGCCCATTGGGGCTCTTGCGGCCGCAGGGACCGCCGAGGAGAGGACCCCGTGCGCGCGAGCCGGGCGCCCCAGCACCTCTTGGCGCCGGAGGGTTCTGCCGGGACTCCAGGGATTCCCCCCTCCGCGGTTCTCCCGGGCGCCGTCCCGCAGTCCCTTCAGGTCCTCTCCTTCGCGCTCTCCGCTTGCTCCCTTTCCTCTGACTCGGTTTCCCTCTCTTCCCCGGCTTCCTCCCTCCGCCGTCTCCTCCCTCTAGGACGGTTTATTCCGCCCTCCGCCTCCGCCTCTTGGGCTCGCGCTCTCCGCTTCGGAGCGAGGGAGAAACCGAGCGGAAAGCATTTTCTCCCTCCCTGGGGTCTGACTCGGTCCCCGCGCTCGGTTCTCTGTCCCCTCCCCCCTCCATCCCTGTCTCCGTCCTCCCTCCATTGTTCCCGGGTCCGGGGTGTGTGCGGCACAAACTTGCAAGTCCCCTTCCTCGCCCCCTGCTGGGTCGAGGTTGGAGGTGGCGGGGTTCCCGCTGCCCATAAGTCTGGCCCGACCTTCTGGTTCGGGGGACCGTGGGGGCTGGAGTGCTGGGCCAGAGCACCGGAGGCGTCCGACAGCCAGGAGCTCCCGCCTGGAGCCCCCAGCCCTCTATGAAAGTGGGTGGGTATCTGGAGCTGAGAGATAAAGGACACATTGGAGGGGGGAGGAGCAAGACCGGGAGACCCCAGTCTCCAGGGGTGGGGGGAGCAGAATCGGAAGCCGAGCCTAAGCCCCAGTTGTTGGGAGGAGGTTAGGGGAAGGACAGGTGGAGATCGACGCTCCCCACTCTCTCCCAAGTCGCGCGCTCAGCGGACGGGCTCAGCGGACGGGGGCAGCGTGGTGCCATTGTCCTGGCGCTGAATAGCCTGGGACTGCCCGCCTTGGGCGGTATACTCGTACCCACTCCGGGGGTCCGTAGGGGAACCGCCAGGCCGCCTCGCCCACCCCCGACGCCCCTATCACGGTTGGGCACTAGCTCGGCGTCCTCTCGCTCCGCCCTCCCCCGCCCCTACCCCGTCCCGGGCTCCCGCCGCCTCCTCGAGGCCCCGGAGGGAGCGGATTTCTACGCCGGAGCGAAGGCGGCGGGGGCGGGAGCCGGGTGGAGGGTGGAGGCCTTGAACCCCGAGGCGTCTCTGTAGCCCAGAGCCCAGAGTCGACGGCCAAGGCCACCTCGCCGCCCCACCGCCCCTCACTTCCTGGTTGATTTCCTTCAGACAAACTTTTCCCGGTGGGGCTGCCCTGCGGGGAGAAGGCACCGGGGCTGCAGGGATGCCCACCCCAACTGAGAGGCCTCTTGGACCTCCAGTCTTGGTGGTCTGTGGAGAGGGAGCCGACGCCCTCTCTTCCTCCAGCTCGCAGTGCCAGGGACATAGGGATGGGGGAGGGGGTGGGGAGGGAGGTGAGAGGGTTGTTGGAGAGCCAGAGGGAGGCAGAGTCCATTTTTTTAGCCCGGCCTCACACTTCGCCCAGGGGGAGCAAAGATTTTTCTCGTTGGGTTGTTAGTAAATAAGACTACGTATTCTCCAGGCCTCTGTTATCCCATCTGTAAAAGGGGCCCTCTGTCCCCCAAGGTGCCCTCCTGGCCCCATTGTCTTGGGAACCAGCCGACCTGACTTCTCCTTTTCTGCCCACATGCTGTCAGCTTAATCTGCCCTAAATTAGGAGTGGAGGGCTGAGGCCCAAAGCCCTCCACCCATGTTTGGTTGTCAGTACCTCCTGGATCCACAGCTCAGGCCCGCCACCCACACCCCAAGTTCTCCAACCCCACACTCAACTGCCTCCCCTCCCCCAGGATCTTATGGTAGCCCTCCTCTGTGTCTGCTGGAGGAAGGGCCTGCCAGTCCAGGGGTTGGGGGTGGGAGGAACAGTGGAATTGACAGTGACCTGTGATATTCACACAGCACTGAACTGCTCTTTACTTTCTTTCATTTATTGGACAAAATGTTCGTGAGGGCTGGGCCAAAAATGACTTAATGAACAGAGTGCCAGATACAGTTCTAGGCCCTGAGAGACAGCTGTGAACAAAATTAAAAGATTCTTGCCCTTCTGGAGCTGACACAGTGGGGGAGGGGCAAATAACTAATAAAGTAAATAAGCAAATTATATAGTATATTGGGAGGTGAGGGGGAAAAGTTGAGTGTTGGGGGGTGTTGAGGCCAGGGGTGAGGTCGCCATTTTAAATAGGGTGGTCAGGGAGGTCTCCCTGAGGAGGTGACTTACGAGCTAAAGTTTTGAGGGAGTGAGCTGTGGGGACAGCTTCAGGGACTAAAGATCTGGCCGAGAACAGCCTGTGCAAAGGCCCTGAGGCTGGAATGTGCCCGCTGTATTTGAGGAACTGTAAGGAGCCAGTGTGGCTAGGGTAGAGTGAGCGGGTGGGGAAGGGATAGGAGACAAGGCTGGCTGAGAGGGGATAAGCCTCCCCATTTCACAGATGAGGGCAGTGATGCTCAGAGATAGCATAAGTAACCCCAGGGCAAGCTGCCCAGGAGCGGCAGCCGCAGGGTGGGGTGCCTAATGCTCTGACTCCTAGCCCGTAATAGTTTTCCCTTCACCCTGCATCTCAACCATTAATTCACAACCATGGTTTTGCCCCTGCGAAGGCCAGGCCTGGCCGAGTGCTGGGGATATGGAGGGGAGCCACCCAGGCTTAGCACCCCAAGGGGCTCCATATTCTGCAGGCTGTTGCCAGCCCCCTTCCCAGGTTCCCCTTGCCCACCTGTTGTCAGTACACTCAGGGCAGCATCTTCCCCCTGAGCCAGAGTGACCCTGGTTCTCTTTCTTCCCATTTCCTTCCTGTGGCCACTGCCTTGTAAGCACCGCACTCTGTATCCACATGTGGCTTCTACAAGGGGACCTGTTCTGAAGTTGGTATGGTCAAGGGGGAAACTGAGGCAAAGAAGTTGAATTTCCTTGTCTGAAAATAAGAGCAGCATTATTTTTGAGCGTTCACTATAAACAGGAACTGTTTTAGGAGTTTTTTGTGCATCTTCTCATCAGTGGGAGGTGGGTGTCATTATTACACCCATTTAACAGATGAGGAAACTGAGGCCCAGAGAGGTAGTATCACTGGCCCAAGGCCATGCAGCTAATAAGTGGTGGAGCCAGGATATCAGCACAGGCCTTTTGAGTCATGCCAGAGCCCCCCAAACCCTGGGGGAGATGGTTAGCTCTGGACTGTGGTTCTGGCCCATCAGGGTACTGGGAAAAGTACAGGGATCCTTCTGCTTACCTCCCCCAACCCACCCAAAGGGCAAATAACTACTTGCTTATGAAAAAGTTGGCTCAAAATAGTGGGACACCTCTTCACAGAACTCCCTTCCCGCCCTTCTCTCCTCCTCTCCAAGTTTCTGAGCATCTACAGGGGTGGGGGAGGTGGAAGGAGTGGGAGGGGAGAGGGTTATGGCCACTGCCTTTTCACAAGAGCTCTGGCCCCATGGGATCTGGAAGCACCAGCTGCCTTTGAGGGCCCTGATGTGGTCACTGGGCTGAGGGGGAGGCTGGCCCACTCCTGGGTTGGAAAGGACAGGAATTCTCCATGTGTTCTGCCCTTTGTGAGTGGCGGTAGGGACAGAGAAGCCCCTCTCAGTGACTTCTGTGTGGCAGCGGATGGCCATCCGAGGCCTGGACAGCCCCTTGCCCACACAGCAGTTTCAGAGGGTGAGGCCCCCAGGGATGTCCCCTCCTTCTTACCTCTTGTCCTGCCCTGCCCTCTCACCCTCTCCAGCACAGCAGGGAATGTTTATTTTTTCTGTCCCTGAGGGCTTGGAGATATTTGTGATGAAAATGTGAGCTTTCCTCTGTCCTTCTGGAAATTCGGCAGCTTCGAAAGAAAGAGAACTGGTAGAGAAATAGCAAAATGTGTGTTTCCAGAGCCGGTGAGAGAGGTGGTAGGACTTGGGGGCGGGGCAGCTTGTGCTGGGGTCTTTGCTGGAGCTGGAGTGTGGCTGGTGAGTGACAAGGTTTGGAAGCCAGATCCGGAATATCACAGCCAGGAGGGGCCCTGGAGACCACACTTCCATTTTTCAGACGAGGAAGCTGAGTCCCAGAGCCCGGCCCTGGCTTACCTGTGATGGCAGAATCTGTTGGTGACCTCAGCTGTCCTGTGTCCCAGCCCAGTGACTCAGGGCTCAGCCTTCCAGCTTCAGTCAAACCCGTCCTGTGTTGCCAGCTAATGTGTTCCTGGAGTTCTTGGAAATGGGGTGTGGAATCCCTTTCTTGACTACAGAGCTTTGTCACGGGGACTGGTTTGTACCCCAGCAGGATTCGCATCGTGTTCTTCTCCCCCGCCAGTTCTACTCTGTCATCCTTGCCCTTGACACAGAGCCCTGAGCCCGGTGGTGATGCTGGTACAGAGAGAGATGGGTGATGCAGCCCCGCCTTCCACTGGCTCACCGGCTACTTGAGAGACAAGGCTGCCTAAGGCAGGCTGGCCTTTAGAATAATTGCACTCTGCTCTCGAGGGATACACTGCAAGGAAGCCCTGCCACGTGGCAGCCTCTCCTCAGCTTCTTCCCTTAGCCCGGGTACCCTGAGGAAACGCCCACCGGCAAAACCTGCACCCCAGAGGCCACTGTGATAATGATGTCGGTGAAGCAGCTGTGTGACTTCCTAGTTTAGTTCAACCCTGCTGACAACCTAGTAAGTCAGGCATTGTCACCCCATTTACAGTGAAGAAATGGAGGCTCCAGGAAGTTAATCTGCCCAAAGACACAGGACTATGATGCAGAACCCAGAGATTTGGATCCTTGAGATTCACTCTGCCTGAGGGCACCGGTGGAGGGTTCTGGGCTGGGGGTTCTTTAGACCCCATCTCGCCCAAGGGGCTGATGGGCTGCCCCAGGAAGGGACCACAGGAAGGATGATGCAGGCTGTGGACCCTCCAGCCCGCATGGTCCCCT